AGTTTTCATTAATATTTGAAACCAGCTTTTATTTTTACATTTTCTGTTTTCATTTTATCTTTAGTTAAAGTTTTAGTAATTTGTTGCGTGTTGCCATTTTTAGTAGTTTATTTTGTCTATTTAGTTTTTATTAATTTTTATTTAAGTTTTAGTTATTTTAATACATCAAGTTAAACTAAATTAAAACAAGAAATATTTAATTGTTTCTCCAAGCAATGAGCAATCAGGCTAAATTTAAACTTTCACTTAAAGGAATAGTTCATCCAAAATTTTTAATTTGCTGAAAATGTACTCACCCTCAGGCCAACTAAGATGTAGATGAGTTTGTCTCTTCATGGGAACAGATTTGGAGAAATGTAGCATTACGTCACTTGCTCATCAATGGATCCTCTGCAGTGAATGGGTGCCATCAGAATGAGAGTCCAAACAGCTGATAAAAACATCACAATAATCCACAAGTAATCCACACACCAGTACATCAATTAATGTCTTGTGAAGTGAAAAGCTGCGTGTTTGTAAGAAACAAATCCATCATTAAGACATTTTAAATAATTCAAATTCAAAGTCCTCTATTCATAATATTGCTTTCTCCAGTGAAAAGTTGTCTTGCCTGAATCAGGAGAGAAATATGCACAGATCAAGCACCATTTACAAATATGTCAGTGGATCTTGATGAGAGAGGACAACAGGAGATGGACTGTTTCACTGGAGGACAAATTATTATGAACTACAAACTATGGTGTTTTCGTTCAGAAGGGACGGTTTGAAGTTAAAACATCTTAATTTATTGCATACAAAAATGAAGCTTTATACTTCACAAGATGTTAATTGATGGACTGGAGTGGTGTGGATTACTTGTGGATTATTGTGATGTTATTATCAGCTGTTTGGACTCTCATTCTGACGGCACCCATTCACTGCAGCGGATCCACTGGTGAGCAAGAGATGTAATGTTAAAATTCGCCAAATCTGTTCTGATGAAGAAACACACAGAACACACAGAGGATGAGTGCATTTTCAACAAATGTTCTTTTTTGGGTTAACTTTTCCTTTAAGGCTAGAAACATGCTTTGCGGAAACTTAAGTGTGCTAACCCACTGTACAGTTCTCATATTATTGACAATTACGGACCTCAGTATTTAAGATACTGAAGTCTAAGACTTAAATATTAAACTTAAATTAAACTCTCAAATGATCTCAGCTGTGATCCACATTCATGGTGGTCAACCATATAGGGTAAATTTCCATTTCATACCAACTTTATGATTACAAGGTCAAAAAAATCTAAATAAAACATATGCATAGATGAATCATTCACAATAAGATCAAACATGCATTTAGAATATAGATTCATTCAAAAATAAGTCTTTACAAAATCTTCCGAAACAGTCACTGTTTGGTGATACACAGAAAAAAACAACAACATAACCTATGTCTATGTATGTGTGTGTGTGTGTGTGTGTGTAATATAATCTGTAGTCTATCAGAAGTCTGTCAGGTCATTTGAGCTGATGCGGCCTCATGCGGTGTGACAGACAGCGGCCTGCGTCCTCCATCGCCTCCCTCCTTCACTGCTGACTTTAGTGGCTAAGCAGCCATGAATAGAGATGGGCTCTCAGAGAGGAGGTCTCATAATTATTAGTTTTAGAGCCTTTTCTCAGATATCCCGCGGGAGCAATGGGGTTAAAAATCCATTTGTGGGAAGTGTAGCATGACAGCAAGGCACGGTCTCCCTGGAGACAGCCGACATCACACAGCAGTGTGTGTGTGTGTGTGTCATGTATGTGTGTTTATGTCTGTGTGTGTCTACATATGGAATGCATTGCTATGGTGTCTGTTTTTATAGCCATGAACAGGACTGCTCTAAAAAAACAAAAAACAGACTCTGCCAAAAGTTAATACCCATCATTCATTAAGCTTTACACCACATTCATAATATACTAATATACTAAATATTTTGAGATTACATACATATATATATATATATATATACACACCACAGTAACTTTTTGTAGGGGTTACAAGTGCAAAATGTCTACTAACATTCAGATTATCAAGCTAGTCAGCGATCTGCACAATCCTTCAGTTGTCACAGCATATAAGCTCACAGATTCACTTTTCCTCATAATGCTGCTGTGGCGCCTGAGCTCCGACCCTCCAAGGGCGCCTGGGGGTTTTGCTCAAGGAGCTCTCTATTATACATTTTCGTTAATATTTAAGTTCAAAAAAAGTTTTTATTTATTTATTTTTAAAATGGTTTTAGTTCTAATTTTAGTTAACTATTATAACCCTGGATCGAAAAAACAATGAATAAGTGAATAATTTATCTGAACTTTCCCTGAAAACATCCCTCCACTAATATACTAATAATACTAATCCCTCCACTAGACACCTGCCTCTGACTAGTTAGTGTAGATATGTGGGTGCATGTTAACTACTTCAAACTAGTTTCTAAGCACGTTACCCTTTTGCATCCAATCCGTGTGACACAAACGGCCTCTTTTTCTCTCCGTCTCTCGTATTTCCTCCAGCTGTCGCTCTGAGACGCGTGCGTTTTGGCACTCCTAATGTGCTAAAGAGCATGTGAGACTAATCTAATTACAGCGTTGCTCCAAAAGAGAGCGCGAAACTGTTACAATCTAAAACCCACAAATGGAGAGACCCCTCTTCGTATCCCAGCATCCTCGACGCCCCTCCTCTCGTTCCTGGCTCTCCCGTGAAGACGGTGAATTGGTTTGGCCCCTACAGTGCTTCATTACCTGGCCTAATTATAAAGGCAAATGAAATCAGCCCCGCAATACATTATTAATGTCCGCATGAGGTCATTTGAGCTGATGCGGCCTCATGCGGTGTGACAGACAGCGGCCTGCGTCCTCCATCGCCTCCCTCCTTCACTGCTGACTTTAGTGGCTAAGCAGCCATGAATAGAGATGGGCTCTCAGAGAGGAGGTCTCATAATTATTAGTTTTAGAGCCTTTTCTCAGATATCCCGCGGGAGCAATGGGGTTAAAAATCCATTTGTGGGAAGTGTAGCATGACAGCAAGGCACGGTCTCCCTGGAGACAGCCGACATCACACAGCAGTGTGTGTGTGTGTGTGTCATGTATGTGTGTTTATGTCTGTGTGTGTCTACATATGGAATGCATTGCTATGGTGTCTGTTTTTATAGCCATGAACAGGACTGCTCTAAAAAAACAAAAAACAGACTCTGCCAAAAGTTAATACCCATCATTCATTAAGCTTTACACCACATTCATAATATACTAATATACTAAATATTTTGAGATTACATACATATATATATATATATATATACACACCACAGTAACTTTTTGTAGGGGTTACAAGTGCAAAATGTCTACTAACATTCAGATTATCAAGCTAGTCAGCGATCTGCACAATCCTTCAGTTGTCACAGCATATAAGCTCACAGATTCACTTTTCCTCATAATGCTGCTGTGGCGCCTGAGCTCCGACCCTCCAAGGGCGCCTGGGGGTTTTGCTCAAGGAGCTCTCAATGAAAGAGTTACTCTTGCATTTGACAACGTGACTAACTTAGCCAGTCAATTGCACTGAAAAATAGGCTCAGCGAGTAGTCAATGGGGCGTCCCAGACCAGGGACCATTTCAAAGCAACTGTGTGCCTATGTAAAAATACAGCCTGACTGATACGCTTAACATTAGCTTGTCAGCTAGCTATAGAAAAAAAAAACACAAAAAAAACAAAACAAGGCAGGGGTGGGATTTGCAGACATTTAATTTGCAGATCTATCTATCTATCTATCTATCTATCTGGATTCAATTGCAGTATTTGCAACAATATGATATTTTCAAACTGTTTTCACGCCTGATTAGAAACGAGGACAGATAAGAGGGAGGTGTGAGAGGAAAGAGCGAGATAGTGAAAGAGGAAGGTGAGCACAGAGGAGAGAGTGATGAAAACTGAGAAAGAGAAGCCATATATGAAAGACGGCTAAATGAATACTGCAAAAATAGACAGACGAAAGACGTGATGAAACAAAGGAACGACAGACTGAAAAAGAAAGGAAAGATGTGAAACGTGCCACAGTTCTGACCTTTAACATTAGAAAACAAGCAAAAGTCCACATATGTTTGTGCTTTGACTGGTTTCAATAGACTAACAATACTTTCCAATGCACAAACGAGATCTCATTAACGTCTCAATTGTTTCTCCAAGCAATGAGCAATCAGGCTAAATTTAAACTTTCACTTAAAGGAATAGTTCATCCAAAATTTTTAATTTGCTGAAAATGTACTCACCCTCAGGCCAACTAAGATGTAGATGAGTTTGTCTCTTCATGGGAACAGATTTGGAGAAATGTAGCATTACGTCACTTGCTCATCAATGGATCCTCTGCAGTGAATGGGTGCCATCAGAATGAGAGTCCAAACAGCTGATAAAAACAT